AAAAACAAAAGTAGACATGTGCACAGAGGCAAAGACAAACAAGACACAGGCAAGAACTGCCAGATAGACAGACATACAAAGACAGACACACAAGACATATACGCACAAAGACAATCAACACAGAGACAAGGACGACAGATTTGAGAGAGACAGGCCTTCCAAAAATAAAGAAGTTGAAATTAAATCATCGACAATTGTTTTATTGGCAACATTTGCTCAAAGATAGTAATATCTATTCAAAACAAGTATAAAAGTTTTATATTAACCAACTGTCAGAGTTCAAGAGTCCATTAATAGATATGAATGGGTCTAGATATACAATATAACCCTTCAATAATACTGGTTTAGCAGCTTCCACAGTAAAAGCCTGTTTTGGTGCAAAAAATTTGACCTATTCTTTTCCCCATACATACGTAAAAATACGTTTCATTGTAAGGCCAAATAAAAAATCTTGTGTTTCTTTCTGCTAACCCTGTCTCCCCTAAAAATTGTGTGCCTACCCTAAAGGTTTTTTATTGGCATTTAGTGATGTGCACCGAGTCAGAACTCCCGCTCTTTCTAAGCATTGTAAAAATATTTTCCAAAATGAGACAAAAAGGCTATCTACCTATCCACCCTATGTTTATGATAGCGGAAACACAAGATGTATGTGTCTTGCCTAAGTATGATCATCGTATTGTGAAAATATATTTATGAAATATTCCATTCTTAATCACGGTTTTTTCGCGCTTATACAATTGCTTTTTTGGATAATTAAGACAGTCCTATCTGGGATGACAAACATATGTATATGCATTCATAGCATGTCCATTTCTGTAATGAAATTCGACGATCAGCGACATGCATACCGTCACATTGCCCGGCCAGAGGGGACGATAGCGACTGTGCGTGTAAGGGCATGTCATTGATTTCCTTGTTTCATTACAGGAAAATGCGACTCATAAAATCCTAGTTACGTAATCCCCGCCAGAATGTCGATTATATTTCAATAATTAATTCCGACAAAAATACTACTCGATCTTCAAAATCTTGGTTAATCAAATAAACGTGAGTCACATAGTCAATTTACATTATGAGCAAGGTCGACGTTGAATGAATAATACATTAAAAAACAGGTGTGGACATATAAACAGTTATACATCAGAAACAAACCTCGGAAAAGAACAGGCCTGGGTATTATATCATGAAAATGTTTAATTAATAGAATTTCACATTTTAACTATTTTGAGGAATTCCGAGAGACTTGAGCCAAATAGCGTGTCAGAAGTCTAAACTTCACTGTGTGACTATATAAATATGTCGGATGATTTCCTGCTAATTAAAGAAAAAATGTCGTTTGAGCACAGAATCCATGCTTGAGCATGATGCAGATTGTTTAATAAATTGGCCTTCATAAATACGGGTTCTGCTAACAAGGAAGTAAACTTTGTTACGTCAATATTTTAACCTAAAACTACGGTGTTTCGAGTAACTTTATGCGTCTCAGAGGTTTAGATCGACTTTCGGTAAAAATTACAACTAGGCTCTCTTTCTTTTCAATAACGTCTTTCATTTAAGCAAAGCCAATGATGATGAGGCGAGCAGACTCCAGGACTGCATTATACTGGAGGAGTGGACCGTTCCCCAACACTCCCATCACGTACGTATAGCTGTGAGTCATGCTTTACCTGTGTGTCACTGCGGATCAATACGTTACCCTGATTACACACCCCGTGTAGGCGTGTCTGACCACCGGTGATGCACTGTTTGTACGAGTTCGGGTGTGTCAGAATGTCGTACACATTAGCACGTGTGGTCAGGAGAATACATGTCCTTATGGATTGGATAATTTACACTGTTAAATTAAAGATTATGTAATTGTCTCTGATTATACCACGGACTAAGATTTAACACATTGCTATCCATGTCCGTGATTATATCGATGTCCCCTTCAGTTTTACGTCATTATTTTATTAAAATACTATCAAAATCATATAAGAAATTGGATCTTTGATATTTCCAAAGTCAATGCAAGCAATGAACGGAGGAAAATGTACACACCACATAGCGGCCGTAGAGAAGCGAAAGGCCGTTCGATCATGCAAAATCGATGCCTACTGTATATGACAAGCGTTTACCGCATTGTGTTCGTGAGTTTTACACACAACATACGTTTTTACATCACTATTATCATTTATCTTAAAAATTGTTCAAAAGTGAGTTAGGACACAAACCCAAAACGTAGGGTTTACATATATATATATATTCAATTTGGATTCCTTACTGTATTCAAACTTATACATGATATCGGTCGTACTTCCTGAACTGACCTTACCTGCCCGGGGCCTTACCCATCAGACCTACCCGCGGGACAGAACATTCCCATATAGAACGAATCAATTTTAACATAGAATGGTGTCAATGGTGTCAATATGACAAGAAGACAGCTAATGTCATCGCGGCATTTTACATCCTATACGTGTTTTGTTTTCATTATAATCTCGATTTCATTCACGCCAATTGTATATATACTTCCATCTTATGTTTTTATATTAAAGATGATATTTAGATTAATCACGGACTTTGATAGCAATATTATAATAATCTTATTCCGTGGAATAATATAATTAATAGAAATATACTTTAAATGAACAATATATATTTTTTTTAATTCATCACAACTTCACTTTTTACGTCTCTGTATTAATTAATGACTTAGAAAAAAGACACCATCATGACTTTTTCCCGATGATATACACTGTTTTGTCCCATATTCCTGATCTGTAATCGGCCAGAGACGTGCGGTTCTCTAACATTCTTATTTGTCAATATTTGCGCTCAGTACATTTCATTCAGTCAAACGGCCACGATTGGCATAAGCAAGTCTACAACGATGACTCCATACGCCTACCATTTACGACAGGTCACGTGATTGGTCAAAGAACCAAGGGAGCGGAACGGTACTGACTATATCGACCTTGAGTACTATAGGTGCTATTTATAGTAACACAGTGGACATCGAAATAACTACCATTTTGCATAATCGTAGTTTAAAATAAAACATTATGGTAAATAAATTATGCACCGTACGTAACAGGAGCACGTGTTAAATGTACAAGTGCCGCGAAAAAACAAGTTTGGTGTGGTCAGTTCACTGGTCAGTTGTAAACAACACCCCCATTATTGACATGGACTCGCCCTATTGCGCAGCCTGGACATGGGCTTGTGTCAGTGTCCGTGACGTAATACAGCGAGTGTTTACGGGTTATGGTGGATCTTGACCTAACTTTTTGTGCATTACACAATGGCAGAAGATGCATTCTGTGATTTTCCACCTGATCTGGATCCCTCCCTGTTAAGTCAGATGTCCAATTACGCCATTCGCCATAACGAAGAAAATGAAAACTTCGGTAAGAATTTCTTGACCGCACCTCTTGGTCACTCCGATCGTGTGGCCATTGACCTTGTTGGGTGCATTCTACGGTAGCCATGTTGGTTGTGAGTACATTTGATAATCCGAGCCACACTCAACTCTGTTACATAACGGTTCGTAATTGCTGGATTTACACATTACGTAAATAATGGCGGATTATTGTCTCAGTAACGATTTTAATAGCATGTAACAGGTCAGACATTTCTCCGTTTAGAACAAATAACACGAAAAATGCTGCCGATATATTTCCAGGCGGGATCGTGATCAACCATTAAAAAATGTCAGAATGACCGACGGCTGTAGGATTAGTTGTAACACTCTGTTTATTGTGATTTCTTAGCCATACAGTCAATGAAATGCTGGGAATAAAAACGGGATTTTCCCCGTGAGAATTTTGATAAACCACCTTAAACTTGATATAAAAAAAAAAATCTAATATAAAAATAAAAGTTACTTATATTTATTGCATACATAAAGAAAATACAATATTAATGTACACTATTTTTCTACTTATAAACATCAGTAAATTTTGTACAATTTAATAACCCAATGAAATAATATTCAAATAAAAACATTGTTGTATTATTGATAAAATTACATTTTACACAATGTAAAACTTTATATCAAAATAATATGACAGAAATAACATTGTTATTTTAGTTAATATTGAATATATTCATTGCTTATATATTTTATCTATGTTTCCCATAACAAAGTATAAACTGACCATTTTCTAACATTACAAATGTCAGAAATTGTTATTCAAAAATATAATATATGTCTGGGAAAAAAGTTCTAAATGTTGTTAATCTGTCCAGTGGCACATTCTCTGATAAATATAAAAATAAATATAACATTGTGTTTTCGTAATTTATGAAAATAAATAAATATGCATGCATTCATATCATGAAAACTTGAGTGTATAAGGACTTGATTTCTGAAACAAGATATACAGTTGCATCATTCAAAATTTTGGTTAAACAATCATGCAAAACTTGAAGAGGGACACTTTGAAGAAATATGTTACCCATAAATGTGAATGACCATTAACAATTTATCAAAAGTGTAATGCAGGCATGCACAAAATGATTCCCAGAAAAAATGAAGGAGGGGTATTTATAGAAAGAAGAGTGCTAAATGGTGATTATTTTTTACACTAGCACTTTAATATATTACAACAATGTAACAGGTTCACTATAAACATGTTCCATACCAAATAAGGCTTACAACAAAGTCATATATATATATATGTGCCCCTTTTTGACATGGAATTGCATGAACCTCTTTATAACAAATTTGTATATGTCAGGATAGTATAGTGAATTCAACCAAATTTCTTAGGTTATAACCTGTAATCCTGTTTCGAAAATCCATGTATTTCCATGTCAGTGTTCTCCCCAAAATGTTTTGAAAGAAGCATGGTATTTCAATATTTCTGTTAAAGCAGCACTCTATGTAAATTCAAAGCAGCATGGTAACTTTAGATTAACTATGAATATATAGCTGAGATAGGATAGCAGCAAATAATACATTATTAATATGGCCATCACCTAATTCTTTTAAATTTCAGTAGCCAATAAGATATGATTGTAAACAGTTAAAAAAAAATTGCAACTTTTTTTTCTGGTTCAATGGAAATTGAATCGGGTGATCAATGATCTATTCGAGGCAAACTACTGAAGAAATATATGCCATCTTTAATTTCCACATTTTCCATGTAAATAATTGTGGTGTTCATTCCAATATATGTCAAGAATTAGAAGTTTAATGAGTTTATGGCTATCATGAATATTTTCTGCAGAAGGCTCCGCAGGACGGAAGCACAATGGTGGGCCTGGGTTTTACATGGATCAATATGCAGCAAACATGGAGGGTGTTGCCGTGCCGATGATGAATATGTCCACAACTCACAGCGGTCCAGGAATGCCAACCTCCTCGCAAATGTCGTCAACGGCATCGACTGCCGCAGCAGGTCTCTATGAACCACACAACAGTAATTACGCAATGAAACCTGAAAAGGGGTTACCCCCAACCCCACCAGGTAAAGGGACCCATGTGGAGTTATTTCCCTTCCTTCTCTCCTGGGCCTCGTACACTTGCCTGAACATCCCTTTACCCAACTCTACCAGCTCACACTTAATGATTTAACCATCTCTACCTAAAACATTTCCCAACCACGCTGAAACAGGGCTTTCAACTGACCCCCTGAGAGTATGTTTTGATTTCCAAAATTCAGGGAAAACTCTATTTCATTTCTGCATTTATTAAATGTCAAGTGTGGTCTGAAAGCCCTGCTCAAAATGTCAAAATTTCTTGTTTTCTTCTTAGATATTGTTTTGTAACATATTGTATATCTTTAAAAACAATGACTACAAATTATATTTAATATAAATGTGTAGTTAAGTTTCTGGAAGATTTCTTCTTATAGTAAATTTTAAACATTTCTTTAAGATTTGCTTTCACACTCCTCAGTGAGTTGACTTGCACACATAATTGACACCTGTGTTGATTTTGATGTGTGTCAGCACATCCCCTCCATACATATTGATTGTTTTTGATTGTTTTATTGGACAACTTCATAGGGTCAAATTTGTTGAACAAATTTAAGACAACTTCTTCTAAAGGTCCAGAAGTCCTTTAGTAATATTTGGCCCATAGCTTGATAGGATAACTACAGACTGTCAAGCTTGTTCAATGAAATAACATTAAGCCACATGAGTATGTACTATATGATACAATATTTTAACCAAGGTAAATAAAGTGTTAAGAATTAAAATGTGGCCTGTGTATTATAGCTTGAAATTTCTAACACAATTATTACAGATGAGCAATACAGGCACACTGGGTCCCTTGTTTCTTCTGATTAGCTAGAGTCATGATATTTTCAATATCAGACAAGCAGTCCAAATAAAAGGCCTTGACCCAGTTTCAAGGTTAAATGTGTAATACTTGTTCAAAAAGAATTTCAACTCAAAGAACAAGAGTCTTAAATAGGGTAGTGATATTTGGCTAGTAGCTTAATGTGGTGAAAAGCTAATATGTTTTTGAAATGAATGATTTTGACCTTTTTTCACGTCACCGAGAGAGATCAAATGTGTCAAATTTCACTTTGAGAGCCACATGAAGGAAAGAAATATCCATAGAGCCTGTGGTTTAAGTTTGTTGAAATAGATTTTTGTCTTGGTTCAATGTACAGGTATGTTCAGGACGATCATATTCATCTGAAAATAACACGGTTCCAAGCAAGGGACGCATTCAATTTATGTAATCCTGCAATTAAGTGTGAGGAAAAACTAAATTTTTGAAATAACCTTTAATTTGTCTTATATTTGAATGATTAATATTTGAATATTCTCAGATATATATGTATAGTTAGGAACTGATAATAAATGTGACTCCGTTATGGTGTTATAAATATTGAATTATTTTTTTTACTGCAATTTAACAATAAAGTATTAATTTGACCTTGAAATATTTACTTGACCTTAAAATGTCTAGTTGGCTTTGGAATAATTTTGAAATTTCCTCTCTTCTTTCAGGAAGTCCACAAAACAATAAGAACATGTTGGCTGCCCACATGCAGCAGGGCGCTATGACAATGTCTGTAGCCGCCATGGTGGCTGCGTCACAACAACACATGCTCGCCAAACCTGTACCGATGAGGCGACTGTCAGATAAAAACATCAGCCCGGCTCGGGCAAACTTTAACTACGCAAATCCAGTGGACACATTCCTCACAGAATCAATGTTAGGACAGGGTAAGTAATGGTTAGAACTCCTTAACATTTGTGTACATAATGTTCCTGCTTTGACAAGCAATATATAGCCTGCATTGATGTTCTCCAAATTGATGTGGCACAGAACATGTGTCACTTTTTTTTCTTTTTTTTTTCCGTATACATCAATCTTGAATGCGAGTGATTGCGTTTCGGTTGCTCAAAAATATTTTTTTTATTCATTTTCCAAAATAAGTTGTCATATATACAACAACTTATATTTTGCTTAAATCCAAATATGTTGAACTGATCTGCAATTGTGAATACTGAAAAATAAAATGCAATCGTTGCACTTTCAATCAACTGCAACAAAGACACAATTACTTGAGATTATATGATCGGGGGACGCAGTGTTAACCATGTCTACGATATACGTTTCTATGACACTATCGGTACCCGGGTCAGACCTTAGACCAAGGTACATGAGTACAGTATTTTACAATAACATATTACTTTCAAGTGTATTTACCAAGGTGTCAAATGTCCAATCCTGAATTTTGTGATTACTGCAGACATATCAATAGTTGACACAAAGATGTGTATCATGGCCACTAGCCACAGGTTATGTGACCCAAAGTCGGACCATAATGACCTGTTGTGTTGAACTCCTATACATCCTCGATACTCAAGAGGTTACACTCACTTTCGCTCTCTGCACCCCTAGAATACCTTATAGCTACACATGACAGTATGGCCCTTGCTTTACTTAACCTTGTCCACTCTTCTTAAGTTTAAGATGGATTTCAAAAAACTGTAAATATCTCTTTATTTTATATGATTTTGTGTATATTTCTGCTATTTTGTTTCAGCTCCTTTCAGGAGAGTTATGGCCCTTTATGTAATTCACCATCTATATACCCTTGTGCATTGTGCATGTTGTCCATGACAGAAAAAAAAACTTCTGTCCAGTGGGTGTACTATGCTCGACTCTAAATTAAAAGTAAAGTCCAGATAACAGTTGTTGATACAGTAAATTCCTCTAATGGTAATGCCATGTGTGATTTGTCAGAGCAAAAGGTGATATTAAGCATAATGTGACATAAAGAGAAACACTTCTGTGAAAATAAACTACTATATATGTACATATAATACGTACTTGTACTTTAAGTATACTATAGAATTGAAGTGAATGTACAGGGAACATATTTGCTACTTTTGATCTAACTAAAGGAAAATTATTGGTAATACATGATGTATTGTCACTGGCTCTTATACCAGGTATGAACATGTGACTGTCACCCATTTACGCAAATGTACAGACACTATATATAATCCACATAGTAAAAGTTACATGCTTCAAATTTAAAATTTCAACTTTATTCCTTTTACAACAATTATGAAACAAGTTATTTCAACTTATATTAATCACTCTTGTTGGCCAAGATGTTAGTGCGCGGGGGTCTTAATGTGGGAGGAAACCGGAGTACCCGGAGAAAACCTACGTGGTCGGGCAGGTGACCACAACCTTTTCACGTCCGATTGGGGAATTGAACCCCTGTCACCTTAGTTAAATGCAAGTGTGCTATCCACTGCACCACCCGACCACATGCTTCAAATCTGTGATGTCTATTTGCCATTTATAAAGTTTTCTGTTTAGATATTAAAGAAAAGGTCAATTATGATTGACATCAATATTTGTTTAACAATAAATCTGTTAATGCCCATATTTTCTCCAGGATACAATTTTCTCATTAAGAATCCTGAATTGATTACAATGTACAAATGTAGGCTACAAAAGTCGCAGTATAGAATATATTGTGCACAAAAGTAAAGTCATTATCTGTGTTTAAAATGTAGGGCTTGTCAAATAAAATACATAAAAGAGAAATTTGGTGGATTAAACCTCAAACAAGTCAGGAACTGTTCTTAAGAAACATGGGTTGCATGGACCTGAAGGATTGTTTCCTAGTACCTATAGTGGTATGACTCTCATGACGGAAGTGAAAGAAAATACATCTTATGATAGGCTATCCTGCACTGCTACATGTAGATCTGTAAACAGGACACGTACTGTAGTGTATACATACCAGATGTATGTTTTTAGCCGTAGTACAGGTTATATGGGACCAGTCAAGCCACATGGTTTATACCCCTGGTCAGTTTTACCTTGCTTACCAGGTCAGTACATTTGTTTTTAGCCGTAGTGCAAGTTATAGGGGACCAGTCAAGCCACATGGTTCATACCCAGGTCAGTTTTACCTTGCTGAACATGGTTCATACCCCTGGGCAGTTTTACCTTGTTGATCAGTACATATGTTTTTAGACGTAGAATACGCTATATGGGACCAGTCAAGCCACATGGTTCATACCCTGGTCAGTTTTACCTTGCTGACCAGGTCAGTACATATGTTTTTAGCCGTAGTACAAGTTATATGGGACCAGTCAAGCCACATGGTTCATACCCCTGGTCAGTTTTACCTTGCTGATCAGTACATATGTTTTTAGCCGTAGAATACGCTATATTGGACCAGTCAAGCCACATGGTTCATACCCCTGGTCAGTTTTACCTTGTTGACCAGTATGTATGTTTTAAGCCGTAGTACAAGTTACATATATAGGACCAGTCAAGCCACATGGTTTATACCCCTGGTCAGTTTTACCTTGCTGACCAGAACATATGTTTTTAGCCGTAGAATATGTTATATAGGACCAGTCAAGCCACATGGTTCATATCTGTGTTTAAAATGTAGAGCTTGTCAAATAAAATAGATAAAAGAGGAATTTGGTGGATTAAACCTCAAACAAGTCGGGAACTGTTCTTAAGAAACATGGGTTGCATGGACCTGAAGTTTCCTAGTACCTATAGTGATATGACTCTCATGACGGTAGTGAAAGAAAATACATCTTATGATAGGCTATCCTGCACTGCTACATGTAGATCTGTAAACAGGACACGTTACTGTAGTGTATACATACCAGATGTATGTTTTTAGCCGTAGTACAAGTTATATGGGACCAGTCAAGCCACATGGTTCATACCCCTGGTCAGTTTTACCTTGCTGACCAGGTCAGTACATATGTTTTTAGCCGTAGAATACGCTATATAGGACCAGTCAAGCCACATGGTTCATACCCCTGCTCAGTTTTACCTTGCTGACCAGAACATATGTTTTTAGCCGTAGAATATGCTATATAGGACCAGTCAAGCCACATGGTTCATACCCCTGGTCAGTTTTACCTTGCTGACCAGTACATATTTTTTTAGCCGTAGAATACGCTATATAGGACCAGTCAAGCCACATGGTTCATACCCCTGGTCAGTTTTACCTTGTCGACCAGTATGTATGTTTTAAGCCGTAGTACAAGTTACATACATAGGACCAGTCAAGCAACATGGGTCATACCCCTGGTCAGTTTTACCTTGCTGACCAGTACATATGTTTTTAGGTCACCTGAGCTTTAGCTCAAGTGACCTATTGCTATCCGTTTTCTTCCGTCGTCGTCCGTCGTCCGTCGTCCGTTAACATTTTACATTTCAAACTTAAAGTCAAGTTCTGCTGGGCCGATTGAACTGAAAGTTGGTAGGAATGATCGCCTCATGGTCCTGACAAAGTGTTGTTATTTTTCGGGTCGATCAGAAATCCAATATGGCCGCCACGGCCGCCATTTTGAAAACCTATTTCAAACTTAAAGTCAAGTTCTGCTGGACCGATTGAACTGAAAGTTGGTAGGAATGATCGCCTCATGGTCCTGACAAAGTGTTGTTATTTTTCGGGTCGATCAGAAATCCAATATGGCCGCCACGGCCGCCATTTTGAAAACCTATTTCAAACTTAAAGTCAAGTTCTGCTGGACCGATTGAACTGAAAGTTGGTAGGAATGATCGCCTCATGGTCCTGACAAAGTGTTGTTATTTTTCGGGTCAATCAGAAATACAATTTGGCTGCCATGGCCGCTATTTTGCTACTAAGTTCTAATAGGCCGATCTCACTTAAAATTGGTCTAGGAATGATCAGCTCATGGTCCTGACAAAGTTAAGTTAACATTATACTATTTTTTACTCAAATTGGTACATATTTTAACAACAAAAATAAATACTATAGACTCAGGTGACCGTTAAGGCCCATGGGCCTCTTGTTAGCCTTAGAATACGCTATATAGGACCAGTCAAGCCACATGGTTCATACCCCTGGTCAGTTTTACCTTGTCGACCAGTATGTATGTTTTAAGCTGTAGTACAAGTTACATATATAGGACCAGTCAAGCCACATGGTTCATACCCCTGGTCAGTTTTACCTTGTCGACCAGTATGTATGTTTTAAGCTGTAGTACAAGTTACATATATAGGACCAGTCAAGCCACATGGTTCATATCCCTGGTATGTTTTACCTTGCTGACCAGTTCATATGTTTTTAGCCCTAGTACAAGCTTTATAAGACCAGTCAAACCACATGGTTTATACCCCTGGTCAGTTTTATCTTGCTGACCAGTACACAGCCTGTGTACAGTATATCTTGATATTGTGATGAATGAGATATGGCCCAGGTACTAGTTTCTATGGTGTCAACATGTTCTAGTGGTGGTCATTCATGCAGAAAGGGGCCCTATAGGGATAATTAGAAATATATATTTCACTTGAAGTATTTCCCCTTACAATCTTTATGAATGAATTAACATGTTCATTTTAAGTAACACCAATGTCTTAATCATATAAGCATTTCTGGAAACTAGTACTCACTACTGCTGTATCCAGCATCATTTAGCTATTGGTCCATCTTTTGGTCAATTTCAGGCTCTTGTATGGGAATGATACAGTGCCAAAACCAGGAATACATCCTGATCAGTTCACACATTGTTCCCCCTTTTCTTGCACCATTGGAATGTATATATAGCTGTTAACATAGCTGGTTTCAACTGGGCTAAGAATTTATGAAATAATTTAGGAAACAAAAAACAGATAAGATATGTAATGGCTGACTTACTTTCCACTTTCAAGAATATAAAAATCAATAAAAAAAAATAGTGAAATATTTTGAGCAGGT